CGGTTGCCGTGGGAACGGGAGGGGCTGTCCTGTCTCCACGGCAACCGGTACCCAGAGAGATGGCTGTTCTGTCACCATGGCAACCAGCACCTGGAGAAATGGGTGTCCCTGTCACCACAGCACCCGACACCCAGAGAGATGGGTGTCCCTGTCACCCACTGTGACAACCCCATCACCCACAGCCACTCTCACCCACAGTGACACCCTGTCCCTGTGACTCAGGGCCACTGTCACCCTGAGAGACAGCCCGTCGCCCACGGCAACTGTCACCCACAGGGATGGCTTGTCCCTGTCACCCACAGTCACCACCAGTGACACCTTGTCCTTGTCATCCATGGCAACTGTCAACCTCAGTGACAACCCATCTCTGCCACCTGCTGTGACAACCTCATCACGCAGGGTCACCCTGAGAGACAGCCAATCCCTGTCACCATGGCAAATGTCACACTGGGAGGTGGCTGTCCTGGTCTCCCACCATGACAAACCTGTCGCCCACAGGCAACTGTCACCCACAGCGAACTCCTCTCCCCGTCACCCACAGTAACTTGTCACCAGGGTGACAACCCCATCCCACCACCCCCAGCCAACAACCCTGTCACCCCAAGGTGTCACCGTCATGTCACCATCTGGGGCCTGTGTCCCCTCCCATGTCCCCTAATGACGTCCTCACAGGGGTCCACGGTTCGTGTGACAACCGGGGCACAGAGACCACAGGACAGCCACCCCTGGGGTGCCAGCACACCTGGGGGACATGGGCGACATGGGGACATTGGGGACATGAGGGGACATGGGGGACAAAGGGATATGGGGAGACGTGGGGGGACATCCCCTAATGACGTCCTCACAGGGGTCCACGGTTCGTGTGACAACCGGGGCACAGAGACCACAGGACAGCCACCCCTGGGGTGCCAGCACACCTGGGGGACATGGGCGACATGGGGACATTGGGGACATGAGGGGACATGGGGGACAAAGGGATATGGGGAGACGTGGGGGGACATAGGGGACATGGGACTTTGGGGGAAGTGGTGACATCCGGATATGGGGGGACATGGGGGGACATAGGGGACATGGGGACATGAGGGGAGATGGGGACATGAGGGGACATGGGGGGACGTGGGGACATGGGGACATGGGACACATGGGGAGACGTGGGGGGATGTGGGGGGACATGGGGACATGTGAAGACATGGGGACATGGGGGATGTGGGGATATATGGGGGGACATGGGGACATGTGGACACATGGGGACATGGGGGACGTGGGGGGACATATCCCTCCATGAGCCCCATGC